GGAAACACAAATATCTACGAAAGAATCGAAATGGCTAACCCAAGACAGGACTTGGCGAATACACTCAGCGAAGCCGGGGTGGAATTTCCGCCATCAGCTACAACGCAACAGCTACGCAAGCTACTGCAAAACGTAGTGGGAGCTGGAGCAAATGCCTCGACTTCTGCTCCTGAAAATGCCGCCGATTTAAATGAAATTGCCGATGCTACTAGTACTGCCAATGCCGCTAACGCAGCTTTTACCGCCGACGCCGACAATGTGCCAACCGCCGCTCGCATCGCCGATTCTGCCGATATTACCAATGCCGATGCCGCCTACAATACTGATGCTGCCTACAACGCCGCTGCCGCTTACAATGCCGATGCCGCCTACAACGCCGCTGCCGCTTACAATACCGATGCCGCTAGTATCGCTGATATTCCCGGCCATGCCACTGCCGGTAATACTGCCGCCACCATTGACGCCGTCAATACTGCCGGAGACCTAAATAGGGGTCAAAGGACCGCACCAAGACTTGGTGACCTAGACGAGGAGGTTACAGCCCTCAAGAAGCGTCTTGAGATTTTGACGCTTATGAGGCAAATAGAGGAGCTTGAGTGCCGGGCCCCCCATAAAAAGCAAACGCCGGCTAGACTTTGGGGACATCGAGCATGCTCTGCCCAAATTCAACGGCGATGACGTGTCGTACTCGGTCCTCCACTTCCTGCGTGATTTCGAGGAAATTATGGATTCCTCAGGAGCGGACGACAACTTTAAGCTACTCGCCCTCCGCCGCTCATTAACAGGGACGGCACGAGTGTTCCTCTCGACTACGATCGCCTTAAATTATGAAGCCCTGAGGAAGGCACTGACTGCCGAGTTCGACAAGGTAATCACTCGGCAGGAGATATACAAAATGTTAGCGCAGCGCAAATGGAAAAAGAAGGAAGAGTCGATGCACTGCTATGTGCTACATATGCAAGCTTTGGCAAAGCGTGCCAACATCGCCGAAACAGAACTAATCGATTTTATTATCGACGGCATGGGGAACTCGCTCCCGAACATCCAAATACTAATGACGGCATGCACTCTCGACGAGTTGAAGGCGCTAATAAGTCGCTACCAACATAAGTACTTCGTGACCAACACCACTGGAATTGGTCCCAAGCAGCTTACCACAGCAAACCCGAGGCAGCCGTCAACAACCACAAAGCCGAAAGCGGAATCAATACTGTGCTATAACTGCTCACGGAAAGGGCATATGAAGCCCAATTGCCCATATCCAATACGCCCGGATGGATCTTGCTTCCGCTGCTGGCGCATGGGCCATGACCACCGCTCTTGCCCGAATCCGGCAAAAATCTTAAAACCACGGGATGACGTGGCCTTTGTTACGGATGACGCAGACTATGAGGGAGACGCCATCGGCGCCTTTAACTTTGTAAGTATAGAATTTAAGACGACTAGGGAAACAATATGTGACAAAGTATTTTCTCTCTTTGACACCGGTAGTCCGGTTAGCTTCATAAAGGCGTCACTTGTCCCAAAAGAGTTGGTAGAAGAGCAGGCCATTGGAGCTGTGTCAAAATATAAAGGCATTGGAGGAAATAATTTAATTATAATAAAACAAGTGAAATGTAGAATTCAGTTCTTAAATAAATCAAACGAAGTTGAATTAAATGTTATACCAAATGAGAGTATGATTATACCAATTATTTTGGGACGTGACTTCCTCCGTACATTCAATATTGAATTGCGAAATAGTGTAAGAAGATACACTAAGAGAAACTTATTAGAAATAAGAGATAATGTTAATTGTAATATGCCTAAGATGATTCAATCAGTAACTGGTTCCGACGTACACCCTGCCGTTATGATGCCGAAACAACCTGGCGATGAATTCTACCAAAGTAAAACCAATTCAGTGAATCCCCACGAGCCTAATGACCCCACCGCCGCTGACGTACCCGACATTTTCGCCATCGATGTTTCTCACGACGATAAAGACGTTGACACAGACCTCAAACTGGCCAAAGACCAGCGTGACGAATTAGAACGACTCATTGACGATGCCTATTTTAACCACAACATAAAACCCGAACCGTTCAACTACGAAATGAAGATACATTTAACTACTGACGTGCCTTTTCATTGCGCCCCACGCAGACTCTCCTACGCTGAGCGAAGCCAGGTGCAATCTATCGTAGACGAATTGCGCCAAGAAGGGATAATAAGACCCAGCAACTCTCCGTACGCCTCCGCAATCGTACTGGTAAAAAAAGAAGAACGGCAAAATACGATTGTGTGTAGACTACCGGGCATTAAACAAATTAACCGTGAGGGATAATTACCCTTTACCCTTGATCGACGACTGCATTGAATACTTGGAGAATAAGAAATTCTTCTCGGTGCTTGATCTGAAGAGTGGATTTCACCAGGTGCAGATGGCCCCTGAGTCAATCAAACTTACCGCATTTGTTACCCCCAATGGTCAATACGAGTACCTGAAAATGCCTTTCGGACTGAAAAACTCACCCGCAGTATTCCAACGTTTTATAAATAGTATCTTCCGAGATATGATTGATGATAGAAAGATCATCATTTACATGGATGACATCCTTGTTGCAACCGAGGAATTCGAAGAACACAAAGATTTATTGAAAGCTGTACTAGAACGACTCGCCGGACGGGCTTTGGAACTCAACCTCGCTAAATGTAGGTTCGGGTATGACGAAATCGACTACCTAGGCTATACGGTGAGTCGTACGGGAATACGCCCGAACGGCTCCCACATCAAGAGCATACAAAATTTTCCAATACCCTCTAATCCAAAACAACTGCAGTCATGCATTGGCCTATTCTCATACTTTCGCCGCTTCGTGCCGTCTTTCTCCCAGATCGCCAAACCACTGCAGAACCTACTTAGAAGAAATTCGCAATTTGACTTCGACGAAAAATGCCTTGACGCCTTCCTTGAGCTTAAGTCCAGATTAGTGCAAAGTCCAGTTCTAGCTATATATAGTCCTGGGCGAGAAACGGAACTTCATTGCGATGCTAGTAGCATAGGTTTTGGTTCAGTATTGCTGCAGCGTCAAGATGACAAGAAACTTCACCCCATTTCATACTTTTCAAAAACTGCCTCAAGTGCCGAATCAAAATACCATAGTTTTGAGCTAGAGACCCTATCTATAATATACGCGTTGAGGAGGTTCAGACCCTATTTGGGGGGTATACCCTTCACAATAGTCACAGACTGCAATTCACTGACAATGACTCTTGAGAAAAAACAATTAAATCCTCGAATAGCTAGATGGGCTCTTGAGCTCGAAAATTATAGTTACCAAATAAAGCATAGACGGGGAGTTTCCATGGGCCATGTCGATGCACTAAGTAGGCGACAAATTGCATCAATCATAAACTTAGACGACGTTGAGTTCCAATTACAGGTGGCTCAGGAGCGCGATACAAATATTGAATCATTGCGAAGTCGCTTAGAATACGAAGATTTAAAGGACTACGACTTAGTGGACGGACTTGTGTATAGGAAAAGACCAAATGGCAAGAAAGCACTATACGTACCTTACGAGATGGAGAACAACGTAATACAACTGATACATGAGAAGTTGGGCCATCTATCAGTTGAGAAAACTCTTAACAAATTGTGTATGTACTACTGGTTTCCAAATATGCGAATGAAAATAGAGAAGTTCATCAGAAACTGCCTGAAATGCATCATGTACGCTACTCCTCCGCAAGCTAGGGAGAGAACATTGCATGTCATCCCTAAAACCCCACTGCCGTTCGACACTATCCATATAGACCACTTCGGACCGCTGCCGTCGATCAGGTCCAAACGGAAACACATCCTAGTAGTAGTTGATGCCTTTACAAAATTCGTCAAACTTTACCCAACCAACTCTACCAGTACTCGGGAGGTCATCGCTGCTCTCGAGAAATATTTCAGCTACTATAGCCGACCAAGACGGATCGTGAGTGATAGAGGGACTTGTTTCACCTCTATGGAGTTCAGTGCATTTTTGATGAGGCAAAACGTAAGCCACGTAAAAGTAGCCGTTGCCTCTCCGCAAGCCAACGGACAGGTGGAGAGAGTGAATAGGATATTGAAATCTATGTTAGGGAAGCTGACCGATGAAATAAATCATGACGACTGGGTCAAGAGGCTACTTGAAGTGGAGTATGCCATAAATAACTCAACCCATAGCACTTGCCGAGATACGCCTAGCCGCCTTTTGTTCGGTGTCGAGCAGAGGGGAGTTGTTGTGGACGAGTTCACTGAATTTTTTCAGGATAAAATATGCCCTGACGAAGGACGGGACTTGGAGAAAATACGTAGAGACGCATCCAACTCCATCATAGCTAAGCAGGAGTACGATACTAAGCGATCCCACAAGGGACAAACCGAGACCAAGACGTACAGTGTAGGTGACTACGTCGTCGTAAGGAATGTCGATACAACCGTCGGAAGTAACAAGAAACTCATACCGCAGTATAAGGGCCCCTACGTGATTCACAAAACATTGGGAAATGATAGATATGTCATTAGAGACATAAATAATTGCCAGCTGACCCAACTCCCGTATGACGGAGTGATTGAAGCCCACCGAATAAGGAGATGGCGCCAGCCGCCCGAAGAGTGTACCGACGAACCAGAGCGCGATCCTCTGCAGATCGATTAGTTGCTTTAGGACCTATCTATGATCGAGGTCGATCCCTTATCAGGATTGGCCGAGTTGTAAAGTTGCAAATTGTAAACATAGCATAAGTATATAATATTAGT